GGGGCCCCTGGCCTGGGGGGCCCGCTGCCATCCTGCACTGCTACCTCTAGTTTAAAAACCAGCTCCCAGTGCAGACCAGTTCCTGCCTGCCGCTCTGCACTGCTGCCTCTGACACAGAAGCAACAGTGTGGGGTGGCAGCAACCCCTGTCTAATGGGGGTCCCCAGCTTCCTGCTGCCAGAGCCTGTGCTGGCATCCCACAAAGCAGCCCTGTCTGCAGAGGGGCCGGCTTAAAAGCCAATTCACCATGGGCTCGTCTACATTGGCCCCTTTTCCGGAAGGGGCATGTTAATTTCAGTGATCGTAATAGGGAAATCTGCGGGGGATTTAAATATCCCCTGCGGCATTTAAATAAAAATGTCCGCCGCTTTTTTCCGGCTTTTAGAAAAGCCGGAAAAGAGGCTAGAGCATACAAAATCTACTAGCCTAGAACTCCCTAAACTCTTGTGTGCGAGGGGAATTTGGGGGAGTGTCTTTCTCCTCAGTTGGAGGCCATGTCAGTAACTTTTTTCTTTTTTTTTGCTTCTCACTTGCATGCAGCCCCTACTTCAAAGTAGGAATAAGATCCTCCGGAAAAGGGCGTTTTTTCCGGAGGATCGGGGCCAGTGTAGACGCTCTTTTCCGGCTCTTCTAAAAGCCGGAAAAAAGCGGCGGACATTTTTATTTAAATGCCGCGGGGGATATTTAAATCCCCCGCGGATTTCCCTATTACGATCGCTGAAATTAACATGCCCCTTCCGGAAAAGGGGCCAATGTAGACGTAGCCTACGTGTATTGGTTCTGCCTGCCCGCCTCATTGGTTAATCATGTACTCGACTATATACGAACATACCTACCCACTACCTATGCTTACTAATCCCTCATCTGCAAGCTAGTAAGAATATGTCAACACCGGGGTGGCCAACCCACAACTCGTGTGCCACATGCAGCTCTTCCCCCTCAAAAGTGCATCTCACAAAGCCACCCTGCAGCCCTGAAAATGGCCCCTACCTTTCTGTGCTCATCTGGACAGGGGAGCCATCCAGCATGGCCATTCAAAATGGCATTTTCAAGATGGTGGCGGCCAGCAGGAGCCTGATGTGGCCAAAAAAACCTTTAAATGTGTTTCTTAAAGGGACAATCCTTTTTTTTCCCCCTTCAATAACTTTGCCCCGGCTCTTCGCACTATATCCACTGCTAGTTTGGCTCTTTGTCCAGAATGGGTTGGTCACCCCTGGTCTACACTGTAATAAAAGACCCATGACACGAATACAGCGAGCCTGGGTCAAATGACTTGGGCTTACAGGTCATGAACTGGGAGCCATAAAACTTCAGTATAGACATTTGGGCTTGGGCTAGAATCTGGACCCTGAGACCCAGTGAGGAGGAAAGAGTCTCAGAGCCCAATCTCAAATGTCTTCACTGCACTTTTACAGCTTCACAGCCCAAACCCTGCAAGCCCACAAAAGCTGATTCAGGCCAGAAGTGGTCATGTTGTAGGTCTTTTATTGCAGTGCGCGCGCGCACCCACCCACCCATACTACAGACTTAAGCAGTCCTCTACGTTGTCCTCTTCCCATTTAACAGAGTCATGTTAGTTCTGTGTGTCTTCCAATTTACAAAGAGCAAACCTATTGATGTAATTATTATTAAAGGCAGTCCCCGACTTACGCGGATCCGACTTATGTCGGATCCGCACTTACGAACGGAGCTCTCGGGCCCCGGAGGTCGGGGCGAGAAAGCCCCGTTCGTAAGCTGCTCCGGTGCCCCTGGTCTGCTGGAGACCGCCAGAGCAAAGCCTCAGAAGCGCGGGGAACCGCTGCTGCTGCGGCTTCAGTCCCGGTGCCTGTGGTCTGCTGGGGACCG